CAATAAACAAACAAGAGAGAAAAGCCGATCAGCTGATCATTGATCAGTTTCATGATTGAAGTAGCAACAGGAGAGGGAGGGGAGAGAATGAGATAAGAAGAGGCAGCTGTGCAGCGTAATGACGCAGAATAAGTCCAGCTTTGTCCTTTTTTCTATTCTAGCTGAAGTCCGGGACAAATTGCGTTTCTTTTCAGCTCAATACAAAACGCGTAATATTTTCTCTGAATAGGGGACGATTCCGTTTTTACGGGACGGTTGGCAACTCTAATAATTAACCTTATGAATAAAATAAAGATCACTATCAGTAAAATCATTGCACCAACCCAGCTGTATAGAAACTCCGTCATGCTAGCTAGTACGCAGTGCAAGTCATTAACTGACTGTAAAAAGTCAGCACAACGAAAATAAACTCCACCTAAACTTGGTTTATATCTGACCCAGATAGACTGCAGGTCATAAATTCTTACCTGAAGTTCAGTTCACCTGACACTCGGACCGGCCCCGCCTCGGGTCTCTCCTCCTCCTGCCTCCCCTTTCCCTCACCCACCTGCTGGCCTCCACCACTTACTAATGTTACTGAATCTGTGGAAGCGCCGCCATAGCCACCACCAAACAACTGAGTTATTTTTACACATCAGCCAGCAACTGGCCAATCCACCACCTTTCATTGTTTATACCGTTACAAAAAAATTCTTTTTTTTAAAAATCATCGGCCCATAAAAACGAAAATTCACCATCAGCCCACCGAGCAAATGCCCGGTATGCCCGATGGCCAGTCTAGCTATGGTCGTGCCATCAGTTAACCCTTCACGTGCCAGCTGTGGCACGCGTGCCTAGGGTTGCCGACCCCTGACTTAGACGCTCACATTATTTACACTCTTATGACACATACATATAGGGCGTCTGGGTGGGCACACAGAACGGTCTGTGCACCCGTTTTGACTCCATGTTGGGCAAGTGTGCGTGTATTTGTATATGTGTACATGACGGTGGAAATGCATGCTTGTGTCTGTGTGTGCCTGTTTTTCTATGTTTATGTGTCAGCTCAGGTCTTAGACTCCAACTCTCAAGGAACATCTCAGGCTCCCATAGGTGCGGGGGCCTATTGTCCCCCACCACACTCCCTGCCAGCAGCTGATGCCCCCACCTGTGAGTGAATTGGTGGGTTCTCTGTGTCCGGGACTGGGAGCTAAGGAGTGTAGTGACTCACTCCCCGGGGCTGCTTGGCAGGGCCTGGCCCACCAGACCCAACAGAGCCTGAAGGCTCGTGCCTTATGGGTGCCTTATGAACACAAGCGCTCTCACACACAGGTGTTCACACAGGTGTACAAACAGGTGCTCACAAATAGTTCATCTTGTTTGAAAAGAGCAGCATTGACGGCTGCTGGATGTGACAGTCATGCTGGACACTCTGTGCATTTGGTGAATGCATTTGCATTTGTGCTTGTGTTTAGGTTAGAATATGACTGCATTAAAGCCTGCATTTTAACACAGGTAATCTGTGATATTCTGTTCTGACTGCTACTATCGCTCTCTCTGTCTGCCCTCTTGTGGCTGCTGTGCTTCAGTGACGATGATAAGTTGTGGAGAAGATGTAAATATTCTGTAGTTTGCATGTCAAAATACACTTTAAAACATGACTCACGAATAAGGTTGCAAATACCCTGTATTTACATGCAATTTGCAGGCAACAAGTCAGGTTTTTGCAGGAAACAATGAAACAAGTACACTGTAAGCAGAAATGGGCAGTAACGTGTTACAAGTAACAAGTTACTATAATCTGATTCTATTTTTTTCAAGTAACGAGTAAAGTAAGGGATTACTACTGCAAAAAAGTAATTAGATTACTGTTACTTTCCCACAAGCACACTGCGTTACTAAACTGTGATTTTGTTTGTGAGAGTTTCTCATGACAATGACGTACGAGTGTGCGACGTCCGTGGTAGCAACAGACGTGTGCAAATCAACAATGGATAATATGGCGTGCGGGAGAGTGTCCGACCATGCAGCGTTTAAAGCTTGGAAGTACTGACATTACTTTCAGTTTGATTGTAACAAAAACATGAGCGTCTGCTGTACACTGCGTGGGAAGAAAACTTCTTTCTACAGCAAAAAATTAAACTTGAAATCTGAGCAAGTACCTAGCACGCTGCAATGGGAATGTGAAATTCACAAAGGAACCCCCGGATCCCCCCACTGACATGACCACTGCTTCACCAGGCAAACCTCCACCGGCCCCACTCCTGCTAAACAGGTGAAAATTTAAGATTTAAGAGCGACAGGACTTAGTGCTGCTGAATCTTTCATTTTTTTCTGTTTTTTGCTGTGTTTTATTTGCATCTATGTGAAAGCGTGAAAGTGTAAACACACACAAAAAAGAAAGCAGCAACTTGAAGAATAATAAAGGATAAAGAATAAGGAGAAACAGGAACTCAATAGTGTGAGTGGCATTCACACAATAATAAAGAATAAAGAGAAACAGGAACTCAATAAAGCACCCACACATTATTGTGTGTAACAAATTAATAAAGTAACTAATTGCGGCCAGGGGTTATAGTCAGGGGGCTTTTTCCAGTAAGTCGGGCAGGAGATCATTTCTGGTCACTCGGGGTCGCAGGTTTTGAGTGAGGGTGGTGGTCACAACCCCCAAACAGCTGTTTCACAGAGATCAGGTTAAACTGGACCTCCTCCACTCTCTCATTGGTCAAAGCGAGAGCCTGCCTTTCTGAAATTGCTTTACTAATCAGTGGTTTTTCCCAAAAAGCTCTATTTTAAATTGCTTTATTGATGGATCGGGGAGGACCCCCAGTTTGGGGGTCACTGCGTTGAGTCAGAGAGATTGTCATTTTACCCACACTGGCTGGTGTGTGAAGACGCATTTTACTTTTCTCTGGGATGCTTGTTCCTATATGACCGTCTCCCGCTGAGGGGGTGTGTTTGTAAGTCTTTGATTCTGATTTTCCTTGTTTGGATCACACAAACGCAAATAAAATGTAATAAAGCTTTCCATCAGCTCCTCTAACTTCTCCATCTTCACTATTACAAAAACACCAGTTTAACTAAGAATAACTTAAATTCAACTAGAGCCCAACCGATATATAAATAGTGGAGCCAATTTGCCAATATATCAGTACTCCCACTTACAACAGCCAAAAAATGAATATTTAAAAAGTAAAGAGAAGGTCAGAGAAATGCCCTACAACACGGGTGTCAAACATAAGGCCCCAGGGCCAGATTTCAGTCTGGCAAAGACTTCAATCCTGCCCGCTGCATAGAGCTGGAAAAATTTTGGACTTCTAACTGTATTTTCATATGTTTTACAGCTTTTGCTACTTTTATCTTACATCAAAATAATTAAGTAATAGAAAACAACCAAATGACAGAAAAGTTATTATTTTTCTTTTCTGTGAATTAATAAAAATCTTCTTATTTCTACTTACAGCCCAGTCTGGGCAATGAGCTCCCAGAATCTTATTCTGCAGTTTTACACATGTAGAGAATAGCTTAATCCCACAGAGTCATGCTGACTGATTTCTTTCTTTGCTGGAGCAGCATTTCTTCATCATATAGAAAGACGGAGATGTGCAGTTCAAATTAGGCTTCTTTTTCTATTATGAAGATATCTCAGGGATTAAATGTGTACATTGACAGAAATTGGAATTTTACTAGTGGTGCTTTGTTTGTGTTTGGCACGATGTAAATGATCTGAATTGAACTGATTTGGTCTGGCTTGCTTAAGATCAAAGTGGACCACAATGTAAAATGAGGCTAATGTCCCTGTCCTACAACTATGCTATGACGGATGTTGCATAGTTTGTCCACCAGAGGGCACTCTGCAACTTCCCATTTGGAAAAGGGTATTTGGAAGACCACAAACAACCAGCTGTCCAGAGCATGAATTAATTTAACATTTTTAGACACATCCCCAATACATCATTTTAAATATAAGAACTGGCTTTATAGTAGGATGAAAATACTGAACTCACAGTGACCAATTTGTCTTTTACAGAGGCAAAACTGCAAAATGAGGCTATTGTGCAAATATTTAAAGACATAACTGCAACAAATGCAGCAAACCTGCCCATGGTCAGGAGACCAGGACCAAATCAAATCCAGGGTTTAAGGGTTTAAGCCTGAGGACATGAATATAAAGAAAATGCTTTTTGCTATTATAGGGTTATAAGAACAGAATTAACACATTTTTATTACAATATTAATTATTGTATTACTACATGGTCACAGTCTGGCTTCAGTCTCTATATACTAGAACACTGAAAATGTTTTAGAAAATTTTACAAAAGTACAGCTTACTTAACTTTGAAAATCTTGTTACATACATTCTTCACTGATTAGGTGCTTTAAATATGTAGCCATGAACTACAGATGAAATTTAGTTTAAACTATCCTGTGGCTAATTTACAGAAATGTTTATTAATGTACATTATCCCTGGTAAAAAATAAATAAATAAATAAATAAATAAATAATAATAATAATAATTAGAAAATAGAATGCAAAGATCTAATATGGAAAGCCTTAAATTTCTATTCCAAGGATAAATTTTAAATGCATGTTAATACATTGAGAAGAAACAGGAAGAGCTATAGCTGCATTGTGAAAAAGTCCCTGGATCATAATTCTGACTCACTGCAAAAACACAAAACTCTGGAGGAACTTGAGAATTAATTCATCTGGATCTATTTTAGAAATACTGTGGCTTACTTTTCTAGAAAAACCTGCATCATATGATATCCTGCTGAACCTGGGCTTCCGCAATTACACTGTTATTCAGACTCTTCTCATTCATAAACAAAGCTTTACTCAGTGTCAAACATACAGCACCCTCCTTATTCCAATCACTCCTAGCTCCTGCTCATCGCTTGTAGGTGAAAGGCCGTCGGCCGTTGAATGGCGAGTAAATTAATCTGCCCCGCCTCCTGACGTCACGTATGTCCCCTGGCTGTGATTGGCTGGTGATTTAATGAGCGCTGCAGAACAGAAACAGAAAAATCCAACACGTACGGCACGCAGCGTGTGTTGAAGTGTGAGCAGAGCTGCTTCACTGAGCCAAGCGGACCCAAAACAAACCAGCAGGACTGCGGCTCAGAAGAAAGATAAGGGAGAGAAGAGCCTCGCACTGAGAGAGATAACCATCCTTATTTATAAAGCTGGAAGCTCATTTTATATTTTGTTGGTTTTTGCTCTGCAGCTGATAGCGGATGCATTTTTTTCTCCATTATGTAAATTAGATATTTTTATGCGTCTCTTTACACGAGAGTGGAGCTTGCAGTAGCATTTCTGCTGAAAATTTCTAGATAAGAACAGTGAGGTAGCAGAAGACATGGAGAAAGCACAGGGCTTCTCTCCGGACAGAAACGTCCTCTGCCTGTTTGATGTGGACGGCACTCTGACACCACCGAGAGAGGTGAGCTCGCTTCCCATCGATAATCTTATTATTATTGTTATTAGTTATGATCAGATTTCATGACAGCTCTCTCCTCTTCTGCCCTCATCATTGACCTCTGATGAGAGGCACCTTACTGTAGAGAACACGGTGTCCTGATGACTTCACGTGCTCTTTCTCACAGTGTTTACTTTCCTTTTGCACTCTTTGCTCCTCCTATACACATACCCAGGTACGGGTCTGCGGGGATGCACATGGATGTATATCTTCAGTGTTATATTAATGGTGCTCCATGGCGATCTCTGCAACTGACCAATCACAGGGCTGTGATGTAATAGTTGCATCTCGGAGAAAAAAAAGGTGTAGGGCGACACTATGCACTTTAAGATGCAATAAACTCATAACTGTCAACCAGGAGGTTTCAATCCAATGTGAATTCAAACCTGTATTTATTATTTGAGGTGTTTTTTACAATTTATTTACCAAGTTTTTAACCTTTCACAACATCAACTGTGCATCAGAAAGTCCTTCTATCATCAGGTACTGAAGGCAGGCTTCGCCATGCAGCTGCAAAGCCTCTCAGTAAGGTACACATGTTGCTGTGCAGAATAACTGATAATGCATTGCTCAGCTGGCTTATTGCAGGAAATTTAAAATAACCATTTTTGTTACCAGTTATGTAAGGTTTAATAGAGCCTTTGATTTTTGTATCTGGAGCGTCTGATTTATGCACACTCTCTTGTTCTTTTGTCTTTGACTTTCTATGCTCAGTTTCATGCAGGATCACTGGTGTGTGTGTGAGTGTGCGTGTGTGCAGGACACGTCAGTGCCCGGATATTGCATAATGTAGTCTCCTTTGAGTGCAGTTTGGGGAGTTTTCCTCCTTACATTGGGAGACTTTAAATCTGCTCCAAATAAATGACACTACACCTCTTTGCAAGATAGAGAGCTTGTTGTTGATGACGATATGTGTGTCTGTTTAGGTGTGTTTGTGTCATTAAAACATAAAGTGATAATTAAAGTGTGTTTTTCCTGTTTGTAGAAAATCGACCCGGAGCTGGATGAGTTCTTCCAGACTCTGCGTAAGAAGATGAAGATCGGCATCGTGGGAGGGTCGGACTACTCGAAGATTGCAGAGCAGCTTGGGGAGGGAGATGATGGTGAGGAGATCTCTTCCTGTCTCAGCCACAGACGCTTGTGATTCAGCAAGCTCCATCACCCAACATGCCCTGACACAGGCTGCAGGGAGTAGAGCTGAGGTTATGATTAATTCTGGAAATAATTTTGTATTTAAGCCGCAAATTAAACTAAAGCAAGCTTCCTTCTAAAAGCGAGACCTGCCATAAATAAATAACAGCGCAAGCTGGTTCGGCCAGTCATTAACTTCATGTGTGTTGCATGTATGTTCACTTCACTTTATGATCTTGTGATTCCCCAAACCAGCAGCCAAAGCACACAATTGTAACACGGGCATTGCACCAGCAGCCTCTCAGCTGAGTTAACGCCCAGCTGCTGCAGGCAGGCTGATAACCTGTCTGTAAATCAATATGAGGTTACCGCTGGAATGCAGCTCCATTGTGCTTAAAAAGAGCTCGGCATTTTCATTTACCCTGCCAAGTGTGCCAAAGGTGAACCTTCACTTACTTTGTGTTACAATGTCACAGGTAATATTAACGTTGCGTATTTGAAATTTGATACAGCTGTTGTAACTAACATGTTTTTATGCAGTTCTGCATAAAACATGCATTAACACAGGCTCAGCTACAGAGCTTCCTCATCATTGTCTTAGTGCAGAGTGAGTGTGAAAGTCAGGAGGATTAAACTCGTCTAGCCAGCGTTACATACACTTTAATCTGCTGCTGGGTAAATATAGCAGCTATGTCTTCCGATTAGCGAAGGAGCTGCTCCAAATTTAGTATGTAGGTTAAAGAGAAATAGATGAGCACATTTAGGTACATTTGACCCGTCTCTTTTCTTGCAGTGATACACAAGTTTGATTATGTGTTTGCTGAAAATGGGACAGTGCAGTACAAAGATGGGAAACTCCTCTCAAAACATGTAAGTCCTCCTATACTCAGATACACGTTTTTATGTCCTGATTCAAAAAATAACAGTAACAAGAATACAAGTAGAATTGTAATGAAAGGAAGATTGCACAAAAGCATAAAGAAAGTAATTTGCTGTCATAAACCATGTTGTAAAACTTAGTTTTACTCCATTTGTTTACCCTGGTCTTTTCGTGTATTTTAATCCCTGCAGGCCATTCAAAACCAGATCGGGGAGGAGCTGCTGCAGGACCTGATCAACTTCTGCCTCAGTTACATGGGACTTATCAAACTGCCAAAGAAAAGGTGAGATGGTAAAAAGAGCTCACAAGAATTAGGCTACAAGCTATTTTAACCTAAGGCAGAAAGACAAACCTGAATTCCAGCTTTTCAGGAATGTGAGGTATTTTAGCAATGACCTGAGGCACTGAAGCAAGAGAACACAATTGTGTTGTGATTTCTCATCATATAAAGAAAGTTTTGGCAATATGTTTAAAGGTTTTTTTTTTTTCACAAGTCAAGTATCATGTCCTGACGATGCCTTTCTGCCGCAGGGGCACATTTATTGAGTTCAGGAACGGAATGATCAACATCTCCCCCATCGGTCGGAGCTGCACGCCAGAGGAGCGAATTGAATTTTCTGAAATCGACAAGGTAAACTTCATTGGCAGAAGTACTTTATTCAGAAGCAAACACCATGTATTTATTTATTGTCCCTGCAGGCATTTTAGTAGCAGCAAAACTTATGCAGTGCAGTTAAGCTGCCATTTCTTTGCTACAAAAAAAGGGTGAAAAAGCAACAAAACATTGTAAAAAAAACATCTGAATAACATCTGACTTCCGGGATAAAGTCCTTTTGACAGACAAGACCAAGATTAAGATGTTTGGCCAAAACAAAACACAGCATATCAGCATGAACACCTTAGACCAACCATTAAACACTAGGGGCGGTGGAAAAATCGATAAAGCATAGCATAGCATTATGATAATTTGTGTGGCAATATTGTACTGATAAGGATACAAGGACAGGTAAATATTTATATTTTATAAATTAAATTAAGACATTCTGGGAATACCTGTGAACAAGACTGAATACTGTGAACATGCACTGCTTTCTAGAGATAACATTAACCGAGCAAACTCGCATTTAATCAGCTGAACTGAAAACTCATCCAACACTGAACACGCTTACCTTGACAAAGCTCTCTGCTAATTCAGATCAACATAAGGGATCAGTATTTCTGCATGAGTAAAAATAGGACAGCAACCTCCTTAAGTCTAAAAAACAATCTCTGGCTGTCTGCTGATCCTTCTACCAAGCACAGTGATAATTAAGCTTTGATTTACACTCACAGGACTTAGACTCAGATATTGAGTTCACCATTAACTCCTCTGTATACCAAAGTATTCTAGACTCAAATGCGAAGCCATCTGTTTAAAAGCTAAAGCTTGGTCCAAATTGGGTCATGCAACAGGGCAACGATCCCAAGCACATCAGCAAATCTACAACAGAACGTCTGAAAGAGAAAAGAATGAAGGTGTTGCAATCAAAGCCCAGGCTTCAATTTGATTAAAATGCAGTGGTGGGACTCTAAGAGAGCTGTGCATAAACAAATATCCACAAATCGCAATGAACTGAATCAATGTTGCAAAAACGAGTCGGACTGAATTCCTCCACAGCTCTTCGAGTTATTGCTGCTAAAGGTGTTTCTACAATCTACTGACTCATGGGGTGCACGAAGTTTTTCCACACACTGCATTTGATTTAGTTTTAGATTTAAATAATTTTAGAAGCTGAAGGACCAGATGATTGATTTTATTATGTCCTGACATATGAACCTTAAAATTAAATATCAAATATCAGTCACTGAGAGTTACAGCAAGTCGTGTTACTGTCTCGGTTACAAAGACAAAGGACGTTAAACAATGGCGAGCTTTCAGGACCGCTTAACAAGCTGCCCATTGATGGCTCACAGACACAGGCGATATGGAGGAAGTCGAAGGTTAACTCTTCAGTTACCTGCTAACATTTAAATTCCTGCATTCTCTGCTGTATTCATAGAGAAAATGACATGGCTACTGCAGCGGTTTCTGTGAACTTGACGAACTTTTACATTGCAAAAGCACTTTTACTTTGTTTTTGCCATCGAGCTAACTGGGTTGTCATTCCCTCCACAGAGAGAGAAGATCAGAGAGAAATTTGTTGCTGCTCTGAAAAAGGAGTTTGCTGGAAAAGGACTACGGTTTACTAAAGGTGAGAGAGTTTAAACTGAAAGCATCTTCACACCCACTGATAAATATAATAAAGCTCTCTGTAAATCTTCATGCAAGAAAGCTGACATTACTGGGACACACCTCTTGAAGCGATGATTAAAATAGTATGCAACTGATACTTTATCACTCTGATTGTAATTTATTTGTCTTGGTAATCACTTCAGTTATCATCAAAACATCAGCTATTATTTCATACCTGAACCAGCCAAATCAGTTCACCATCATCAGCCTAACACTGGTTCTTTCAGGCTTTGAACTATTTTAAGCGACTCACTCTTCTGGTTTGTCAAACCAGTAAGACCGCCTTTGTTTTTATGTTGTTTTCATGTTCAGTTAAGTCAGTATTCAGCTCAATACCATGTAGTTTAATGACAAACCACATCTATCTGCCTGCTGTATCTTATCTCAGTTTACAAAGAGGCCCCTCTGTCTCCCACCTGTATGCAGTGTCTTGGACCTTGTGCTGTTGATCCGAGGCCTCGGTTAACTATTACACGCTCGCTGTTCCCTGTCTTGCTTTATTAAAGTGTGTCAGGGAAGGTGAATCAAGTACTTGATGTTTGCTTACGTGCTCCATGAGGTGTGAACTTCAGCTGGTGATGCATGAAGGCTGCCCACATGCGAGACAGCTGGCCTTGTTTACCCACGGCAAACCTGCTTGTGAACATCCTCGACATGTAGCAGCAAAAGAAGGGATTAGATCTTACTTCCCCAGATAAATGAATAGAAAGATACTGAGCATCAGTGTTGGTCAAGTTACTTGAAAAAGGTAATCAGTAACTAATTACTGATTACTTCCCCAAATAAGTAATCCCCTTACTTTACTGATTACTTATTTTCATAAGTAATTAATTACTTAGTTACTTAGTTACTTTTTAAAAACACGATTTACAACCTGAATAGGTGATAGAGCGATAGATCTTTCAGCCCAATTCTACTTTTTCTACATAATCCATCATACAAAATGTAATCAAATGGAAAAGTCTCTTTTTAAAACGTGTTTTATTAGTTTTAATCTTTTAACTTTATGCATCAAGCAAAAATTAAATTATATGCAACATTCTCTGACTGGAAGAAATTTGTTTAATATTTAAACCTATTTTCTACACATTCCAGCACATAAAATAAAATATTTTTTGTGTTTACACTCACTCTTTCAAATAGATGCAAGTAAAACACAGCAGAAAATAAATAAAGTCATAGACTAGCGGTCCTTTTACTCTATTTTCACCTGTAAAGCAGGAGTAGGGTAGGCGGAGGTTTGCCCTGGTGCAGGTGTGCCGCAGCAGTCAGTTGAAGAATCCACGAGTTTCTCTGTGAATTTCCCATTACGTCGTAGCGCACTCGGTGCTTGCTTGGAAGTTTAGGGGTTTTTTCGCTGTAAAAAGAAGTTTTCTTCCCACGCACAACGGACACTAATGTTTTTGTCACTTTTTATAGAATCAAACTCAAAGTAAGGTCAGTACTTCCACGCTTTAAACGCTGCACGCTCATACTCTCTCCTGCACTCGATATATGATCCATTGTTGATCTGCACACAGCTGTTGTCACGAACGTCGCACTCGCTTACGTCACTGTCATGAGACATTCTCGCAAAAAAAATCACAGTTTTAGTAACGCAGTAACGCAGCGTTCCTACGGAAAAGTAACTGTAATCTAATTACCGTTTTTGCAATAGTAATCCCTTACTTTACTCGTTACTTGAAAAAAGTAATCGGATTACGCGTTACTGCCCATCTCTGCTGAGCATATACTTGTATTCTCTTTTGTTTAAAGCAGCTGTGTGTGTTTTATTAATGACACCTAAAAAAACAGGTCAGTCAATCCAGAGGATGTGCAGCGGTGGTGATTTATTAGTTTGTTTTGCTCAGAGTTTATCTTCTTGCGAATGGCTGCTGATATAAGCTGATCTCTGCGATAGGAGTTATATAACTGAGTGACACTCTATCCAATCTGCATTGAGAGTACAGAATGTAAGGGACACTCTGCACACAAACCTTTGACACGAGGTAAACGACACCCTGTGTGTTCTTCAATTAAATAATGCCTGTAGTTTAAAGAGGGCTCTGTTTATATGAGGAAGGCGATTAAGAGGTGGATGTATAACTATTTAGCTGAAGCGGTTGAGTAAGTTTTGATAAAGGTCAGGTGTGTACATCTGTGCAGTGTCAGCAGTCATCTGGGGCCAGTTGATGAGGGTGAAGAATGCATGTCGAGGGTTGGGGTGGGTTGATTACAGATGTGACTGAAGAACTGCCGTGTTTAAAGTCTGAGGTTGAAGGTGTTTAGGACAGAGGCGTGTGGAGGGTGTGTGAGGGAAGTAGCGCTCCGATTGGTTGGAAGCTTCTCGGCTTTTGTTGTTGTTTTTGAGCTCTAAAGGCTTTAACTGAAAGACAAGACGGCAAAAAAATGTAAGGTATGATGGGGGAAGGATGAGAGAAAGAGGTCCTGCTAAAGGCCTCCGAGCGAGATGTTTCACCCACATTTCACAGTTTAAATGTCACCGGGGTCATTCAAGTCAGCACAGAGCAACGACAGAGCTTCTGCTGTTACATTTAGAGTTTAAAAAAAAACTTGAGCTGCAACATAAATCACCCTGCAGCCATGATAATATCTCTGCTCCCTTTTCTGTGACTCTTTAAACACAGAAAAGTGCTCAGCGCTGTTTCGACAAAGATTGACGTACACAAGTGTGTTTTGGGGACACATTCCTTTTCCTAGTATGCTGTTTCCTCTGCCAACAAAGTTCCTAGAAAAACACTGCTGTATGTTGTCAGTAAGAAGCCAAAAGTAAAATTTTTTTTACTTTATAATACAAGCTATTCTTTGAAGCTATCATTCGCGAAACACACAGTGTACATTTAAAGTCTGAGTCATTATAATGACAGCCATGTTTCTTGTCATTATCTCCTCTTAGGTGGCCTCATCAGCTTTGACATTTTCCCAGAGGGCTGGGACAAGAGACTCTGTTTAGAGGTGCTGGAGAGGGAAGGCTTGGATGCCATCTACTTTTTTGGCAATGAGACCTCAGATGTAAGTTCAGTCATAAACGGTTAAAAAGCAGGAATGTTCTGGAGACTACAACACCCCAACTGTATGTGATTGTGAAATAGCTCATTGATTGGCCAGTCAGGCTTTCATTTTTCATATTTTGTGCTTTGGCATGTTGAAGACAATTGTGAAAAACTCTTCACATGGTCACAACTCATCAGCCACAGTGTAACCACTCTCTAAGTAAGGCCTTGTTGTACCTCTTGTTTTCCTATGATGACCATAATTTATAAAATGAATGTTTATTCTATTAAAAATGACTTGAAACTATAACTTCCTAGGGAAGTGTTTATGATTTCTATCCAGTCCGACTTGTTTTAGCTAACAGAGAAGTCCTCCCCCTTCTGGCCGTTAGAAAGAATGCTGGTCTAAAGGTTTAAATCTGACTTGCTTTCACTTTTACATGAGATGTTTAATTGGCACCAAGGAGTTTTGCAGTTTCAGTAAGCCTGTTTATGTTTTTCCTAGATGTTTTCATTTATGAGCAATTGCATATCTAGAAGAAGTGCAGAAATTAGACAAAGTGACTTCCTGGATTAATAGCATTAGATTCTACATGTACTGGCCACTTCATTAGGTACAGGTCAGAATGGGGAAGAAGTGACTTTGAACGTGCCGTCGTTGTTGATGTCAGATGGCCTAATGTGAGCGTTTACACAGAAAAATAGAAAATATCAAGCGGGCTACAGAAGCAGAAGATTTGTTGTAAACAGCATGAAATCCATCCTGCCTTATGACAGTGGTTCAAGCGGCTGGTGGTGTAATGGTGTGCGTACCAATGAGCATCATTTAAACACATCAGCCTATCTGACTATGTTCATCCTTCGTACCATCTGACAAATTTTCAGCAACTGTCTGATGCTATCATGTTGATTTGGACCAAAATCTCTCTTTGAATCAGTTTGATAAGTTTTGATCAAAATTCATTTTTACCATATTTGACAGAAATAACGTGGAGACGTATAACGTAGTTTTTCTATGAGGATGTAAAAGGGTGTAGATGTGAAGAGAAACAGCTGCACTTCTGGGAAACCCTGGAAAGACTCCTGCTTGTTAAGTGTCCATTCAGTTGTTTTGCAATCTCAGTCCAAAGGTCCCAGAATAATCAGGCCTCAGCCAAATGAAGCTTTATCTGTTTTTTATGGTTTGTTTTGCTCAGAGAGAACAAAACAAGCCAAACCAGGCGGCACTAATCTAATGGTTTTTCTTTTCTCTCTGCAGGGAGGAAACGACTATGAAATTTTCAACGACCCACGGACCATCGGCTTCACGGTCTACTCTCCAGAGGACACAGCTCGGCTCTGTCGGGAGCTTTTCTTTGACGCTCTACCACATGAGTCCTGATGTCCCGAACTGCCCCCTTTCTCCTCAAGCCCCGTCTGAACACGAGTCTGTGGCCGTCTGCTGGCGAGCCCAGGCTGTTTTAAACTGATGAAAGGTACCAATACCGATCTCTCCATGTTTTTAATATTTCTACTAAATTTAAATGGACTGAAGCGGGGTGAATGAGCTACACCTGTTCGGAAAGTCGCAGTTCTTTTTTTTTTTTTAAAGAAGGGACGTTGACGAGGGAAGTGTTACATGTGCGGAGGACTGTGCCCGGAGATGTGCTCTGACCGGAGAGTCGCGTTACTGTGACGTGTTATCACGTTCACTTTGAGAGATTGTAACACTTGATGCAGTTTTTTAAAAATGTAAGACTTGCACTAATGCTGACATAATTTTTGCCAATGTATTGTTTTTTAACTCTGCTGATGGAGGCGAGCAGTGTGAGAGACTGACATTAAACAGGTGATTTATGGGATTTTCTATGAAAACGAGATTGGAATTAAGGGCCTTTCTTAGATCTCAAGTCGAGGATACAGAGGAATCATTCCAGATGTTTCTAATGTCTGAACTGTACGTGTTTGACTGTTTTACCATGTGATCACAGGAACATTGGATTTTTGTTTTAACTTCTTTAACAGAAAGAAGCTTGCTGCCATTTCTCATTCTGCTTCTCAAAGCTTTATAAATCACATCCAAGGGAAGGTTCTAAAGATTCTTTACTGTAATCAGTGAATTAAGCTACTGTCACTGTATACTTATGTGGCTCAATATGGAAACCTTTTCTTACAAGCTGGGCTTTTGCCTGCATGTGATACGCGTGACTGCATCTGCTGATGGTTTTCCAGTTGTACGACATTATCAACAGCTGCTTAAAGTGGAACATTCAGGCTCATTTCCAGCTGCTTATATTTATTCTTTGACTCATGCTGATCAAACTAGTCTTTATTTATCCTACATTGAGCCTTGCTGCAGATCGTCCTCTGTCTGAAACAAGCTCCTCTCCTCTTATGCAAGCTTTCTTCTGATTGGCTGCTTGTCCTAAACCAAAGGTTTGAGAACAACAGGAGAGAATTGGGTTCTGAGGATATCAGTAGATGGAGCCGATATTGGAAAAAACTCAGTGAAACTAAGGTTTTAGAGCAGTCTGAAGCCTGAGGTGTTCATTCATATACAAGCATAATAGGTCCTCTTTAACCGCCTGGTGTCCACATATGTGGACATCACATTTTGGGTTATTTAGACCAAAATACTCAATTTTGCTCTACAAGGGCCTGATATCCACTTACGAGGACATTATGCTGCTACTGTTCTGTCAAAATTTTAAACGAATACCCTCATATGTGGCTCTTATTTTTCTTAAAAACAAAAATAAGGTAAAAAAAAAAAATCTGGTAATTCTTTGTTTTTACATTCATCGGGTCCCAATCAGCCCAAATATCAAAGAGAAATTAAAAATGCATGCTGTGGAAGAGTTCGGGTCTTAGGAGGTTAAAGTGTTTCAAAAATGCCTTTTAATGATATTTAAAATGTGTTGGCATCATTTTTCAGTCACATCTGTTATTGGTTTGAAAAAAATCATCGTACTTCATGGATCATTGATGCGAATATGTGGATTTTAGTAAGTCATATATGGAACATATCTGTTTCTGACTGTAAGCACTCCTTCAACCTGAAAGACTACAGGGGTCGTGTAGACTGACATGCACATCTGGATATGAGCCTGTAAACTGACTGTAAGATTGGTAACATATGGATGAAAATGAACTGTATTAAATGTTTATTCATTTTCTGTTCAGTGTGATATGTTGTCTAAGGACCTCAATGTGTTTTCCAGTAAATCTTTATTGAAAATCAAAGTGTGCAGGAATCACTTGTCTACTTGTTTCTCCAGTCAGAGCTCTCTGTTGGTGTTGGTGTTTTTCTCAGCTATTTTACATGTGAAGCACTTCAGGCTGACAAAAACTTTCTCTGTAATCTTGTCACGATTCCTTTCCTGGGTGTGCTAACACTGCAGAGACAAAAAGTCCAGCTCCACCTCTCTGTGGTTGAATTGGAGACTGAAGCCAGAAACAAAGCCAGATTGGGACGGTGGCTCTTCAGTAAACAGCCTTTTACCTGTCTTTCTATACCCAGTCACTAGATGGCCTCTGACTTAGAGCTGCAAGATTGTCATTTTATTCATGCTTTTTGTTGCAGCTCTTTTTCTCGCTTCCTCCTTCTTTGTTGTCAACTTCTTTGACTGTTGTCAGCTGATTATGGTGTGATAAGCCCCTATTCCTGCACATGATCCACATCCTGCCTTCCACCCTGACCACCACGCTTTCCTCCCACTGACTGGACATGTTCAAGTTGTCCTATCCACCAATCAAGCTGCAAACATCATCACTGCACTGGCTGACTGTCCACTGGATGGATTATAATATCAGGCTGTACTTGTTAATACTTGGTTTTATATTGAATATATCTCAAACAAACCTTAATAATTTCTTTTCTAATTAAAAACCCATTAAACCATTGAATATTATATTTCATGTAACTAACTGTGCATGAAATAGTTACCATAGAGGCTTGCTACTCATACAGCACATACTCACATTTAAAATGGTCTCAACGAGAACTTCTATTGTGTTAGAAGCAAAATTTAAAAAAAAAAAAAAAAGCAAAATTAATCAGTCTCTAATAAACTGTTTAAGGGAAAGAAAAATCGCCTTTTTCCTTGTTTACTTATGTGATTTTTTTTTATCAGTGCTTATTTCTTATACATAATAACAGCTTAACAGTTTAAAACAAGACTCTCCAGCAGCTACATCCACAAGAAACAGCCATTTCCTCTGCAAGCCGTCTACCACACAAGCTGCCTGAGTTGCAGTGGTCCAGCATTTTTCAAAATAGACACACCTTCCAAGAGTCAAGTGAATCATAACCTGCTTTAATGTTCTTTCAAGGCTCAGTAGAAGTGATGACTAGGATTACCACAACGGTGGCTCGTCTACAGAAAGACAAAAACACCAATTAATGAAGTAAAATTTCACAATGAAAAAACTAAAAAAATCAGGCAGTGACACTGACAGAAAGACAGAGACTCAGTGGAACGCATAAAAGGATTTACAGTACAGTTTTCAACCTGAAGAACAACAATATGACAATATGCACTATTGGCACCCAGCTCTGCAACTCTGCAGTCAAGTTGGTTGCAGCCCGTTCTCGTTCTCATGGCGTCTAATACTCCCGTTTTGGTAAAGCCACTGGCGCACACACACGGTGGCCTTTTAGGTTTAGACATTAGGTGTGTAACAAAAACCCTTTGGGATCACATTTTTCCCCATCTTTCAGGATTTATTTTTTACATTTTTGCATTTGTTAGTTAGTACAGCGAAAGGAAAGTGGTGAAATAATTAGGCCTGAAAACTAAAATCATCCAGCAAAAACCAAGTAAACCACATTTCAAAGTGTTAAGCTCTCAAACAGGAAGCAAACAAATGAATCCTGGCAAACTATCTTCTGAGTTGCAGCACCACCATCCCTGCAACTTCCTCATGTGGACTTTAAAGAGGACCATTAACTTGCAGCGTGCACAAATGCCACAGGCAGTGTGTTGAGGTCCAGACATCAAAGGACATCTTATGCATAATTTGGCAACACAAGCCGCATCTGAGAGAACAGCAGGATTTGACGCTCTGGGATGAGAACGCATTGGCAGTTCACAATCACAATGACTCAGTAAATCACACACATATATGTTTCTATGAACAGAAAACAAAATGTACACACAAGTAATCCATGGCTCCAGATCCTTTGACGAAAGGATTTTTTAAAAAACAAACTAAGACAAATGTCTCGAGTACCGCTGCAGTTTTCGTATTGAAAGTTTCTTAAGTGCAACTTTTAACTGCATTATTTGAAAAACGAAGCAGTCTGACATACAGACGCACAAACAAACCAACAAGCGAACGATAAAATGAAGTGACCACAAACAAGACAATACAGTAAAAGGTGGTTATTCTTAAAGGAAACGCTTGCAGTAACCTGTATATATTTCATATTTTTGAAATGTTAATGTTTGATCTTGTCTGCCTCGGTCTCCCATCACAACAGACAACATTTAAAAGTTTACTCTAACATTGACAATAACACAGAAGAACATTTCCCTCTCAGTTGTGTGTCTTAAAATGGTGATCTGAAACAAAAAGGAGGTCCTGTCGTGGGTGCAAATATGGAAGTAGTTACTGTAAGATTTGTAGGGATTTCGTTTTTGTGGGTTTTTAATGCTAAACCAGTTTTAACTTCTTTAGATCTTTTCAGACTTAATACTCTTAATATTTTTTAAATATTTTAACACATTGAATACGAAGTTCCTACTCATCTGTTCAAAGTTGGACATGTGAGTATGTTGTGATAAGTGATCTAACCCAGACATGTGATCCCTGAAACTTTGGTGAGCTGCTATCAGGGGAAGTAAAACCGAATCCAGCCTGTTGTTCAACTTTCTCTGCCCAGTTTACTCCTCACTTATGTCAGTTTTCAGAATAATATAACAGCATGATGTCTTTTCTACTTTTTCATCCTTTACAGACCCATCCTTTCAAAGCTCTCACAGGTCAGTTTACAATCCCAAACAAAATTCATGAGAGCAGTGGACACTTTTGAACAGGACATGTCAGCTCTGTAGGGTAGACACAAAAACAACTTCATTATTGACTCTTATTAACACCGGGCATGTTTTCTGTGAAAGGAAAACCTTTAAAAAAAAAAGTGTCAGTCCCAGAGCACCTCTTTCAGCGCACACCAAATCCAGTCCAGTGCAGCCCAACAGGCCCACAGCTCTCTCCCTACGAGCTGATGATCTGCCCAGACCAGGTCTCATGTTTCGTTCCTGGCTTGAGGTGTGTGATCTTCACCTCCACCGCCTGCACCTTCAGGTTTTTGGGTGGGACCCGGCATACTTTGTATGTGACTTCATCTCCCTCGACTGGGACGTATTCCCCCTCGATGCTGAAATGTAGAAAATTCAGGACAATGAAACAGAATTAGAGCGTTTTGCTTTGCAATGAGGATAAAAGCTGACAGGAACACAGAGTGAGGGAAATAATTATTTGATCCACGCCGGAATTTGTAAGTTTGCTTGCTTACAAAAAACAAAGTCTCTAATTTATATGGTAGATTCAATGGAAAACGAAGCAACAAAAGAAATCCAGAAAAAAAGAACAGGTTACATGAAAGTTAT